AGGACAATATTATAGCAAAATATCAAAATACAATCATATTAGTATTGTAAACACTGAACTATTCAGATTAAACATTATTAAACTATGGTTCAGTACTGAGTAGATAGAGCAGGGGGCAGTATTGGACCAATACAAGGCTCCATTGAGTCTCATTATAATTTATTAAACATTAATATTTCATAAACTATAATTTGTGAAGGCACCAAAGGGCATAGCCATCATTTGGCACAGGTGTTTTATAGATATAAATGACAATGGCAGCTCTAGGACAAAGTGTTCCGGAGGAGAAATGTGCCAAAGTGGACATGATGGGAAACGAATCACAATAGTGTGCATTGCATCCAAAGCAATGCACACTGATGATAATGTTCATTATGTCAGCTGATTTATTTTAAAAACTCATTATTGAATTTGATCCTGTTTTTCAGCGAATTGACAGAAATGAAAAACTCAAAACTGAGCCTGCAGCTAACAGAACAAATTTATCAAAAAATCTGTCCTATTTTTCTTATTTTATAAGGCAGGACGAGAAGCTTCAGGTTCTCCAGCTGATAAACAGTAACTGAAGGTCGTGTCTTTATAAACGATAAAAAATAAAATAAAAGACCTGAAAGATGCTTCATCCTTCAGTTGAATGTCAGGTTTTCACCTCATTGGTGCTTAAACCTGTTTTCTGTTTAATAAACTGGAGTCTATTTTCTGTGGATCAAAGGAAGAAAACCTTTAAACACAGTTTACATCAGAGTCCAGGTGTTCTGGACACGTCCTCTGCAGGTGTGGAGGTTTACTTCCTGTCCTCCTCCTGCAGGAAATGCGTCACTCGGAGCACGAGCAGGGCCAGATCAAGATGAGCCGGGTCCTGGCCGCGGCAGAAAACCTCCTGCAGAGCGGAGACGAGGAGCTGAAGAACAGCACCAACGCCAAGCTGAAGGAGCTGCAGAGCCAGTGGGAGGAGCTTAGCACCTTCATCATCCACTGCCACAGGTGAGCTGCTGTCAGGTGACCCCCGCCGCCCCTCTTTTCACTCAGAAGCTTTAATGTTCCGAGTGTTTCTGAGTGTGTGGAGCAGATAAGGAGCAGGGAGGGAAGTTAATGTCACGTTGTCAGCACGAGGCTGACTTTAAATGTCAGCAGTCAAACGTTTTCCTTCAAATATCATTTTAGTGTGAAAAGATGAAACCGTGACACGCGTGTTCTGAAATAAGCTGCAGTCTGAACGTAGCTCTGAGCAGAAAATAACCTCCGACCTGCTGAGAGACGAGATGAGGCGTGAAGCAGAGGCGTGATGGTTAAACAAGAAATTAAATGTTTAAATAAGAGTTTATTAAAGCAGGAATCTTGTGATGTTTGATTGAAGTTTGCTGCTTGAAGTGAATTTAAAAGGAYGGGGCTTTGTGGGCGTGGCCTCTGTGACAGTAGCTGCTGTTTTATATAAAATTCTAAACTCCAGAGCAGAAAGTTTTCCTGTCCTGTTGTTTTAACGTCTTAAACCCCAAGGGGTTTTCTTGATGTTTTTGCTCAAAATGCTGAAATGTAACTGAGTGTATCTCAGCATTTACAAACTCTACTTAAAYAATCTTGGTATCAAAATAAAGCTAACACCTGGGAGATTTCATCAGAAGTGTAAGTATTAAAACAGCTGCTGTGATTTTAGAGATATTGGGGATGGAATATAATTTTTGAAACAAATTTTCCCTCCCGTCTGAATAATTTTTTTCATTAAACAGTATATAACCTATTTAAAACCATAATGAATCAGGCTAAAAACTCTTGGAAACCATAAATCCACTTGTGGACATCACCTGTGCAAAGA